AAAAAAAAAAAAAAAAAAAAAAAAAAAGAAGCAGACTCACAGATATAGAGAACGAACTAGTGGCTACCAGTGGGGAGAGGGAAGGGGGGAGGGGCAGAATAGGGGTAGGGGATTAAGAGGTACAGACTGCTATGTATTATAAAATAAGCTACAAGGATACACTGTACAACACAGGGAATATAGCCAATATTTTATAATAACTATAAATGGAGCATAACCTTCAAAAATTGTGACTCACTATATTGTATACCTGTAACTTATACAATATTGTACATTAACTATACTTCAATTAAAAAACACCTGCCCTAATCTCAAAAAAAAAAAAAAGTACTGTATTTCTCTCATGAAGGCATTACAAGGATTCAATGAGTTGCTACATGTGAAGTGCATAGCACAAGTTCAGCTTTACAGATGGGAAATCTAAAGGTAAAAAACTATTTTGTCCCAACTCACCCAACTACTTCGTGGCAGAGTCAAAGCTCAAAGTCAAGTCCCTTTAGTCACAGTTTAGTCACTTTGTCAACTACAGTTTGCTATAAAGCATTGTCTCTCTGGCTTTGGCTAACACTTTAATTATAAAGTTTTCTCTTCCTCCCCAAAAACTTCACTTCAGGCCCTGACTACAAATAAAGTGAAAATGGAAAGATGGGATAACTCTGTGTTGACTAATAGGTAAAATGAAGGGGCAAGCAGAGATATTGTGCAAGGGGGAATTTGTCCAGGAGGTGTTCACTGCTACTGGCCAAATGCTGCACTGCCACAGCTCCCATTGTAGGTCTGAAGCCTCAGGGCAGCACATTCTAATCTTGATCATAACTTTAACCTGGAGTCTAAGAAAATCCAGGACAACCAGCTGAGCAGGAAGAGTGTGATAGTTAAAGAATCGGTGACCTCTCCTGCGCTACACAAAGATCCTCTTGCTCTTTTGCTTTGAGAAGAAGGAAGGTTAATTTGAGTTGTCTCTCTAAGTAACATTTATTAATAAAGAACAAGAACTGAGAAAGAAAATAGGACTGTAATCATTTTTACAGTGGTAAAATGGTAGCAACATTATCACTTAGATACGCTTAGAAGTGGTAGCAACAATATCACTTAGAAATAATATAAGCAAATGTTGATAAGAGGTAAACAAACCAGAACACTGGACAATGAGACAATGCATAAGCTCCAGCTCATTTTCCTTCTACAATGGTATAAACCAGGAGAAGAAGAATTAGTCAAATGAACAGTCAAAATAGTAAGAACAATAGTAAAATCACTATCATTTAGTCCTCTTTATCAGTCACTGCCAAGTAATGAGGAGATCCTTGAAAGTTTCCTTGACATGGATTTTTGTGTGTGTGTCTCCCACATTCTCTCTTTCTTTTCTTATTGAGATATAATTGACATAGAACACTGTATTAGTTTTAGGTGTATAACATGATTTGATATATATATACTATATATATAGTGAAATGATCACCACAATAAGCTGAGTTAACATCCATCATTACTCATAATTACAAAACAAATTTTTTTGGACATGGATTTTTGAGGGCTAGTTAGGGAAATACTGAGGCAGAATAGTGGTGGAAGGTTATCCTAAATATAAAAGTTCAATGGGAAACAAAGATTTAAAAGGTAGAAAGAAATCAGAGGAGAGGGAGAGACAGGATTTTGGCAAATGTAGGGGAAACCTAAGGAGCAGACACTTTAAAGACAATGACAAAGGCGCACAGGGATTCGAAATGATATGGTCGTGCAAAGAAGCAGCTCTTGGGCAAAACAGAAAGGAAAGCAATATAATTTGGTCAGGGCTAAGATGCGGAGTTTTGAAATGGAAAAGAGAAGACTTGAGAAATGAAAGGAGCACAGCCAAGGCAACATTTCCTCTTCTATGTTGACTTTCTTCTAGCACTTTAAAGAGAATATTATAATTTAAGACTCTGAACATATCTTGTACAATGGATATAACTGTTGGTAAAGAGAAACCTAAGTACAAAGAGTGAGGAATAAGAATTAGGACAAAAATTCACCAAGGCCTGGCCTCGTATATACAGCCATCAGATGAAGCTGAGACAAGCTAAATTATTTTAGAGACAGTTCTATGGCCTATTTTATTATTAAGCAAATTGGGGGCACATTGTCATGGGATGTTTCTCTTTGTCTAAGGAAAATTAAAATTGTAATACAGATGAAAGTCCAGTTAATTTGGTCCTTATGAAAAAGTACATACCCTGAAATAGTTGAGCAAAATGTAAAGAAATGTCAGATTTTCTGAAACTCTCTGGAAATTCCAGAAACCACAACAAGGTCATTGTGATTTTTTTAAGTCACTGTTCTCATAACTTTACATCTCCCAATGCATAGCATGCCCAATTTTACAAAGACCTGACTGCATCTTTGAAGATAATCAAACTTAACAGGCAACTAGAGTAATTCATAGGTAGAAGGATACACAGAATTATCCAAAATTCTGCAAAGCCAACAGAGAAGACTGCCTTTAGATCTGTGACACCAGGGGACAGATATCCATCAAGAAAGCTAAAGTGCAGCAAAGCACAGCTCTAGGACATTTAAACAGAACTTCAGTTGAGTGGAAGGCTTGGTTAACCACAGTTGAGTAAACCTGTGTTGCAGTGTAATCTGATAAGGAACGAACAGCATGGATTCTAGAAGTGTAAACCATGTGTCCCTAATATGCCAGACTTCTTTGAAAGAGTTAATCAAATAGTGGATAAAAATGAACTGAGGCATATCATCCAAAAGTTGTTTTTTTTTTAAACAGAGTCTCTCATAAGAGGTTATTAAGAAAATTTAGTAATTATTGTAGATTAAAAATTGATTAATAGAAAATAAACCAGGACCAATACTGAAAGTCTCCAGAGATTAATACTAGGCTAGTGTACAAATTTATTAATGACCTAGAAGAAGCCTGTATGGAGAGAAAAGGTGAAGAAAGACTGAAAATTGCCAATGATGCAAACTATCTATTGGAAAGGCCTTGCTAAATAATAGATACAATGAAATTCTCTCTTCACAAAGTAAAGAATCAATACTTAAAGCACACTGATAGATTCAAAGTTAATAGGTTAAAAAAAAAAAAAAAAAAAGGATTAAGCAACACTTACCAGAGTGAGAAAAAGGGCAAAATAAGAGAAGATAGGATACAGACTGACAAGGTAATAAATGGCAGAGAATGCCAGCTAGTATCTCTCATATACCTTTTCCTTTATGAATACACAGAAACTTTATGTGGAGCTTTATGATAATAGAAGACAAAACATTTAAAATAAAAGACACTATTTTAAGCAGCATATAATTAACCCATTGAATATGCTGCCACAGGACATTAATAAGACACAAAACTTAGTATGGTTCCCAAAGACCTCAGAGCCTCCAGAATATGGTTCCATAGTAAAATTACTTAGGGCAAAAAATTACAATGGAGCACATACCTCATGCCTCAAGGTATTAACTAGGCTAGGTCAGGACGGAAGTTTCCTTTCCAACTGTTGTATTCAAAATGATTTATGGTTTCAACTTTTAAATATTCCTAATTCTATCCTAAAGTTCAAATTAAGTGAATAGACTCTTATCCAAAAAATTCTTACACTATTTTTTCCAGATATATTCTTTTTGCCTGTTTATTTTCTAAATAGCACAGCCTTCCTTTCCACCCAATTCTTCTTCCACGTCACTTATCCCAGCTTCAAAATATTGCCTAAGAAGTGATCATGAAGAGTCACTAAGTCATACATGTCAAAATCCGTGTTTGGCAAAGAGAGTTCTATAATTTGTCAAATTTTCTCATCTTTTTCCTCTCAGTGGACACAAATTTAAATTCATACAATATTTTGGCTCTGTTCATGTTACAAAATAAAAATCTGAGCTCAGATGCTGAGATGAATGACATTTAACATTTTTCACCTGTGACTAAGAGCTACAGCAAGAAATGTCCTTTTATAAAATGAATTTTAATCAATAAGCAACATAATTTTATAGAGTAAGATACTAGAATGCCACACGAAAAAGGTAGAGCCCTCAAGGCTCTATCTTCACCATGGGGAATGAGTAACTCATCTATGAAATGCTATGGCCTCAGTCAGTTCATACACTAAACACATAAAGAGTGGGCTATGAATGAGTTACAGGCAAAATTCACAACCTGAAAGCCTAAGAAACTGTGTCTGAAAAACTTTGTGGGTCAATAAAAGACATGTTAAATTTAAAATTTTTGAAAATAATAAAATTATGTGTAGACAAGACCAAAGTGATCCGGAGGCAAGTTTATACCTTGTGTCCATTTTGTAATCCAGTCCTCTCCATTTTGGGCTTAGCAATAGGGTGCCACACGTGGTATAAGGCCAGCTGTAGCATTCAAGCTCGACTGAATTTTAAAAGTGACACACGGATCAAATCTGCTCCAAGGACATTCTAGAATTTCAGGGTGCTACTGACCATTAAAATCAACCTCCTCGGTGCTCGCTTCGAATCTAAACATGATGTAAAGTACAATCCTCAAGTTAATTAAATACAAGACCATATATTTCATCTATAAAAAAAGTGTCCAGAATATATCACTTGCAAAGAAAGGACTTATTATGTAATAACGCAGTGTTGAAAATAAGCAGAGTTAAAAATAAGCAGATGATCTTATAAAATACAGGATTTATATGTTTCTTCTCGAGTATAAAATAAGAATTTGCTTTAGAAGGCCAATAAGGTAATATACTTAACAAGATGAAACACAGCAAGCTAAGCAGCAGAGCCCTTGTATGGAATTTGGTTTGGCAGACAAAAGAAGAAAGGCATATTTCAAACAGATGGAAAGTGAAAAATAATAAAGTCATCCTTACCTGCATTAATTTTCCTTCTGCTGGAGTTATTTCAGCAACACCAGCAAACACACCTTCCAAAGTGAGATTCAGTTTTCCTGTGGGGTCCATTTTCAAGGGGATCACTCTGATAATAGCTTTCTGCTCAGCTGATCTTTCAGACTCCACTGCTGCTGCCAGTACCAGTCCTGTGCGTCCAAAGCCTGCCTGCAGGGTAGCCATCAGCAGCCAGGGCCAGAGGGCAGCCAGCTGTAGCTGGTGGCCACCACTCATGCTACCAGCTGCAGCAATGCACTTCGGCCATACATACTGCTTCCACTAGCTAATACCAAACACAGGTCCCTAGATCCAGACAAACGGAGGAAAAGAAACTTATGCTTCAGTTTCAGAAAGCCGAGTCGTAGTTCTGGTCCTTCCTTTCTCTAAAGTATATTCCCAAGAACAGGTGGTATTCCTGATCTGGCAGGGAAGAAGGTATTTTCAGCCTACTTCTGCTTCAGGTATGTCATTTTCTCCCATCCTCACTATGATTAGTAAAGATATCGCCGCTTCTCTTTGGAATTTTCAATTTTGCTTGAGGTTGAATGTCACATCCTGAATTTTAATTATGTCAGATCACTTGGTGCTGGTCTTCCATATGCATCAAGTTCTCGAGCCACTAAACCCAATGTTAATGAACAAAACAAGGCAAAGTAAACGACTAAGGCCATGCATCAAAGGTGAGAGTGAAAAACTCCAGTTCAGAAAACGAAGAGATGGTCCTTTAAAGCCACAAAATTTGTCAACGGTAAAAGACTAAAGATCACAGGAGAATTTTTTCTTAAACAATAGGGAAGGAGAGGAAACACTGTTTCAGGCCACACCTTGAGAGATGTCCAAAGATGCTACAACATGTATTCATAAAAGTTTCAACATTAACTGTATTTCATTGTAGCCAAAGTTCCAGGCCCACTGAACTTACAACACTTTTCATGAACTTAAATATACTATGACTTTGAGATTTTCTACCTAGATTTGCCTGTAAACTAGGTGCTAATTTATATGTCTTCACATAGTCACAGGATAAACCTGAGCATCACAAGCTTTTCCAACGTTCATAATTAGAAGAATGTTTGAAAAGGTTGGCTTTCCGATTATTTTTCCCAGTTGACATTCATATTTCTATCTTTATTTTCCCTTCTCTCTTAGGGATTCCAGCTTTTATGCTCCTGCTTGAGAATGCCAAGCACTTTGATTCCCCATGAGATGCTTTTGGAAACTACTTTATTATCCAGATCTTATAATCTGTAATTTTCTAGGTTCATAAGTAAAACAAAGGACTATTCCTAACACGTTTTCAAATTCCTTGAGGGGGTGGGGAATAAAAGGGGGAGTAAGGAGGTGATTAGTCTACAGGCTCTAAGTAGAAAACCCTGAAAAAGTAAAAATAAACCTGAGTAGAGTAGATCTGTGCTATTTCTAGGCACACTTGAGAATTTGGGTCTTTGTACAAACAACGTCTTATTCTAAGATTTCAAAATGTGCACCCTTAAGTAAATACAAATGCACTTCAACCACAAAGCCCACTGTGTTCAGAGGTCAAGTTAAAAAATCTTATTAAGTCTTCAGAATAAATGCTGAAAAGCCAAGCAATGGAACATGAACCTGTGATATAGATTCTTTTCTTTTGCTGAGGCAGAGGGAGAAAAAAAAAAAAAGAATTTCGAAAGAAATCTGCAAACCTGTTGTGCTGTCAGGCCCACTGGAATCCACGGGGGTGAAACAAATTCAATTATGCTTTTAAAGATCCTGCTCAAAAAAAAGGTTTCAACTGCTTAACCAAGTACAGCTCATTCTTCCACCTTCTTACTCTGCAACCAAACCAAGTGCCCCACACTGCAGCTAGGTGCCGAGAAATTCCGCAGCCCGAAAAAATAATCCATGCAGGTCAAAGGCAGAAACTTACTCCAAGGTTAGAGCTACTGTCCCCAAGAACTCTAAAAACACTTCTAGAGGATCCAAAACCATTTCTGAAATCTCCTTTCTAACAAAAGTCCTTTTTCTCCCCGAACAGCATATAAAAATGATCAAATCTTGAAAGAGAAAAGAAGCAAAGTAGCAAATACATCAGCAACAATTCACTACCAGGAACATAGAAAATCCCAGAGGGCAATGTCTCTGCATCATGGATAGACTTGGAAAGTTCGGAAGGATTCGAGTGCTTCCCTTCCAGAAAGACAATTCTGGATCAGCTCCCTAGAGGAGGAAGCCTGTGGTTTGTAACTGGTGTTCTAGCTCTGACTCCCTCCCCTGGGACTGCAATCACGCTCTCTACCTGCTGACACAAAGTGAGGGTGGAGCAGCTAGAGGCAACCACCCCCATCCCGCCCCTCCTCCTCCTGGCTGGCTGGGGCCTGGTGCGCGCACACTTCACCAGACACGTTCCTGTGCTGAGAAGAGAGCCTCTCTCGGCTCCTCGACTCCCTCTATTGAGCCACAGCCAAACTGCATCCAATTCAATCTTCAATACCTTTCTCTGGGTAAGCAAGCTACCACATGTAAATCAGGGCCACACAAATAGACATGTAAGGAGCTTCTGCACCCAAGAGACACAGATGGTGGTATAAGGAAATAAAGACAAAAAAAAAAAAAAAAAAAAAAAAAACAAAAAAAAAAAAAAAAAACGAGGTTTTACAAATATAAGTTCAAAGGCATTTCTGCTCTTTCCAGGTTTTAGTGTCTGCAAGTGCCACAAAGCCAGAATAAAGTGATCCTGTGCTATAGTTCTTACTGATTTATTGCTGTCTTAAGTCTGCTACCCTGGCAAGAACTCTGTCCATTTTATGCATAGTTTTTCTTCAGCCCTTACAAATTTAAATTCAGTAGCTCTTTTCTAAACTCTGCCTGTACCAAGCTTTTAGATTAGGTGATGTCAGAGGTCTGGAATCTGTTATTTTCTTCTCACATCCCTGGGAGGTGAAATAATACTATGGATCAGACCTGGGCCTTCAATGTGAGACTGCAAGTAAGTCTATATCATAAATACAAACAAAGGGGTAAAATATATATGCTTAATGAGAAGAATATAGGCAAAAAGAAAACTAATTTTTGGTTAATTACCACACTCATGAACAATAACCCTTCTAGTAACCCTGTCTTTAGAAATAATGCAGAGGTTTCTAATATATGTTTCTAAAATTTGAATTTTCAAGTCGACCAGATTATATTTGACTGTGCCCAGACCTGCTGCCAACAGTCTTTCCAAACTGTACAAACGAACAGTGATGTGAATATGGTTAACATTGCACTTGAAAATGGTTAAGATTTGTGTTACATGCTTATTGTGGTAAAAATCACATTTTAAATTGTGGTTAAAAAAAAACACATAACAAAATTTAAAACAATTTTTAGTTTGTACAAAAAAATTGTACAAATTGATCACTTGTAAAACGTGGAGAATAATAATTGCATTGTAGCTTTGTTGTAAAGATTAAAGGACATAATGCCTCTGAAGTCAAAAAGTATGAGTGACCTAGTCACCTTGAGAATTTCATCCCTAAAGAGGGTCTACAGTCCAATTTGAAAAGATACATGTACCCCAATGTTCACAGCAGCACTATTTACAATAGCCAAGACATGAAAGCAACCTAAACGTCCATCGACAGATGAATGGCTGAAGAACATGGGGTACATATATACATATATACATATTGAATATCACTCAGCCATAAAAAGGAATGAGGGACTTCCCTGGTGGTCCAGTGGTTAAGACTCCACGCTCCCAATGCAAGGGGCCCAGGTTCAATCCCTGGTCAGGGATCTAGATCCCGCATGTTGCAACTAAGACCTGGCACAGCCAAATAAATAAATAAATATTTTTAAAAAATGAAATGATGCCATTTATAGCAACATGGATAGACCTAGAGATTATCATTCTAAGTCAGACAGAGACAGAAAAATATCATATAATATCACTTATAGGTGGAATCTAAAATATGACCCAAATCAACTTATTCATGAAACAGAAAGACTCACGGACATCGAAAACAAACTTATTGTTACCAAAGGGGAAAGTGGGTGGCGGAGGAATAAATTAGGAGTATGGGATTAACAGAGACATGCTACTATACGTAAAATAGATAAACAACAAGGACCTACTCCATAGCACAGGGAACTATATTCAGTATCTTGTAATGAACTATAATGGAAAAGAATCTGAAAAAAATATATATGTATATGTATATCTGAATCACTTTGTTGTACACTAAAACTAACACAACATTGTAATTCAGCTATACTTCAGTTTAAAAAAATTAATAAAAAAAATTTTAAAGAGGGTTTATGGGGATAGTTTTGGCATTTTAGGCCTAATAACACCTAGAGCAGAGAGAGAAATTCTAAAGTAAATTCTTAATTTAGCACTTTTTCTTTAGTGGTTGGACCTTAAGAACATAATGCAAGTATAGACCTTTCATAGCTCCTTTCCTAAAGGATAGGAGTAGCTCTAATTCTTCTGGAGAGAATTTTTTAAAAGTCTGCACTGGTTTTACATTTATTTAAAAATATTTACTTACTTACTTACTTACTTACTTATTTATTTATTGGCTGCATCGGGTCTTAGTTGTGGCATGTGGGATCTTTCGTTGCAGCTTGCAGGCTCTTCGTTGCAGTGCACAGGCTTCTCTCTAGTTGTGGCGCCCGGGCTCCAGAGCGCGTGGGCTCTCTAGTTGTGGTGTGAGCGCTCAGTAGTTGCCACACGCAGGCTCAGTTTCCCAGCGGCACGTGGGATCTTAGTTCCCCGACCAGGGATTGAACCAGCATCCCCTGCATTGCAAGATGGATTCTTTTTTTTCTTTTTAATTAAAGATTTGTTTTTAATTAATTTATTTACTTTTGGCTGCATCAGGTCTTAGTTGCGGCATGCGGGATCTTTGTTGAGGCATGTGGGATCTTCATTGTGGTGCACAGGCTTCTCTCTAGTTGTGGCACACAGGCTTCTCTCTAGTTGTGGCACACAGGCTCCAGGGTACATGGGCTCTGTAGTTGTGGCGCTCAGGTTCCAGAGTGCGTGGGCTCTGTAGTTTGCGGCAGGCGGGCTCTAGTTGAGGTGCGCGAGCTCAGTAGTGTGGCACACGGGCTTAGTTGCCCCGCGGCATGTGGGATCTTAGTTCCCTGACCAGGGATCGAACCCATGTCCCTTGCATTACAAGGCGGATTCTTTACCACTGGACCACCAGGGAAGTCCCAGCAAGACGGATTCTTAACCACTGGACCACCAGGGAAGTCCCTGGTCTTACATTTTTATTTTATGTATGCCATGTAAAAGTATAGCATAAAATGTGTAGAATATACATTATTATATATCTGATATATGTAAAAATATCTTTAGGGTTAAACTAAACAAAAAGTAACCTACTAATTGACTTCGCCTCACCTATTACTGCTTGAAACTTGCAAAGGAATTAAGACACACAAACCTGAGACTTAATACAGATACTTAGTTGAAAGGAAAAGAATATAGATGTGGTTGCCCTCTCTTGAGGAAACTCTTGAGATCTGAGCATGACGATAATAGGTATCATGAGTCTGGGTACCTTGAGCTACTCAGGATCAAACCAAACGGCTCTATATAGCTTAGTTCACCGATATATTGTGTTTATTTAAACAGTATTGACAAGCAAAGTCACCAGAATTAATAAGCAAGAGAAATTTTTCTCTGGCTTCAAAGTTTTGGCGTTATCCCTCAGGGATTGACAGACCACAACTACCACAGAGATGTCATAAAGATGCCATCACTATGGTAATGAATCGCCCATCTCACTGACACCTACTACCTAACTTCACACGAGACAGATCACACTTCAGGATCTACTTTCACATCTGCATTGACTAAAGTTACTGAAGACCTTGATCCTTTTCCAAAAACCTAGGTTTCTATAAACATGTCCAAGAATTGTCCTTATCCTTAATGGCATTTTAAGGATTCAATCTCTATTCAAGTGTAAATGAAAAAAACTCAGGATTTCTTTTTTAAAGTCAGATTCTTTGGAAAACAGAGCACATTTTCTTCTGAACTTTACTATTATGATTAATAGTTATAATGACTTAGGTTTCTATTGGTCACCAAACAGTAAAAACAAGCAAGACAACAAGTCTAGTTGAAACACTTTATTGTTGACTGACTGAAATTTATCATGCTTAAGGTGCTGAAATACTGAGGCACTAGTCAGGAGCCTTGTTAGCATGTGTCAGACCCTACTGACTAACTCACACAAAGATTTTATTTTATCTTCTGCCACTTTGTCCAAGACAGTAATGATAGCTTTAGCTGATAGGTAGCAGGCATGTGAGTATAGCAGTAGATCCAGCTCCTTGGTCTGTTGTATTCATATATTAAAAAAAAGTTTGGAAAGCTGATAAAAGTATTTCATTCATTAAGCCTTAAAACAATTGAAACCAAGTCCATGCCAAGGTTCCTGCTTGACACATGTTCCTCAAAAGATATTATCTCTTTCAACATATAGAAAGCCAAGAAAGGCATATTTAAGGGAAGGAATGAGTATCACCTACATAGTATATCAGCTTTTCAACCTGACAGAGAAAAGGCAAAGTTCCTTCATATAGAAACTGGGTCTCCTCTTCACATACTCTGCCAAAATACACAGTCTGACCAAAAGATGTAGGAGTCTTGATAATCTGTTCCTCTTTTAAACCTTGCTAATAAAGATGAATAAATGTTCATCACATGGACATCGTCTAGTCTAATCAGATGGGACAAACAGGTTACTTTTCAGAACCTATTTTCATATCTAAACTGAGTCACTGCAGACCAATACAGAGCTCATCCTTTTCCAAAAAACTACTATCTCTGTAATACTCTGGGGAAGTACATCACTGGGAAGGCACAATGCAATTTAAGAAATGAATTGCTACATCCACCGTGGCTTGAATAGTACTTATGTCATATCACTAAGGGCCTTTCCTTTTTCACTAGTTTCATACTCCTAGGCTTTCCTTTTGTTTCTGCAGTGCTTATTAGGAAAACTGAGGCAGAAACTAATAAGAAAGTTCTAGTCAATTTAAAAGACTTTAAATCAGAAATTTTCTGCTGTCATTGGATTAGCAAGTGAGGGATCAACCACAGAAAGTGGACATCCAAGATACCTCTCCTAAAAACCAGTCCCATTATCCTACTATTTGAATTCAGGATCCTAAAGAGGGGATAAGATAAAAAATGTTATAGTCTATCCCACTATCCAAACTTCTCTCAGAAGCTTAAACCATATATTAACTATTAAAAATATCAGAGGTATAGCTTCTCTTAGGTGACTACTAATCAGCTTCTCCCAAAATTTGCACACTATCTTTTATAGATGAGAATTTATACTTACTGAATGTAAAAATCTAAAATAAGAAAACACTGTGTTAAATCTCTTAATGGTTTTGTTCACACACTGTACATTCCCGCTTCAAAATAAAAATATTATATATGCATCCTTTATCCTTCTACCCCTCAATATTAATAAAAATATAAAGCTTTAAAACTTTAAAATCTACCAGCATTTATAAATACAATTATATTCAACAAGCTAAATACTTTTCTTTAGAAGATATATTAAATAAGTGATATATTAACAAAACCTTCTTACCATTTATGATAATGTATCATTAAAATTAAAGAAAGATATGAAAATAGAAGAACGCTCCCGTAAATATAAAAGAATCAGGGGCTGTTAAGTGTGATGGATGGTCCAAGCCCGGACGCCCTGCTTTTGAAACAGAACGCTGGGTTAGGAAGTAAGAGCATTTCCTGGTTAATCACTTAGAAAATTAACTCTTTCC